CTCTCTCTCTCTCTCTCTCTCTCTCTCTCTCTCTCTCTCTCTCTCTCTCTCTCTCTCTCTCTCTCTCTCTCTCTCTCTCTTCAGGGTCGAGCTTCAGGTTTCCCCTTCATGTCCGCTACCTTGCTTCATTCTCATCAAAGTGGAATGTTTCAGGAATGATCCCTCCGTTTTTCCTTCCTAATATTGGGATGATCATTGGTTCATTCTGCCGTCATCGCTTTCAAATTGACTGATGTGCTCTTGTCGAATTTTCCCACCTCATCTCTTGAATAGATTCATCCAACTGTCCTTCAACCGTCCTTTTTTTTTTTTTTTTTTGATCCCCTACGAAGCTGGTTCACTTCCATTTCATCCTTTGCTGAGGAAAAGAAAGGGGGAAAAAGAAGTCACAGCTGATGCTCACGTGATAATGTTCTGGTAGTGTTTGTTCTTTTTTTTTTTTTAAATAAAAAAGCTAATTCTTTTAAGCCCAAGCAATTGAATTACCTGTCAAATCTGGACGGGACGGCCTGCCAGGTATTTATTGAATTTTATTCAATTATATCATTTATATGTCTGCAACAAAATAGTCAAATTCTGGGGGCAAGCTGGTGCTCATTGTGCAACAATAATCCACCTACCTACATTAAGGTGTTGTTCCTCAAATTCGTGTCCGCATTAATTTATGCCGTATCACTTTAAAATTTTAAAATTTTAATTCTTCTTCAAATTTGAAATTTGAAATTTTACATTGTTAAATCTTTAATTTTTAAAATTGTAAAGTTTTATTTTTTATTACTTTTTATAAATGTGATTGGTATTCTTGAAGTGGTATGATGGCTATCATTTCTGTCCATTGAACTCCATTCATATTCCAACATCATTAATGGGACTCTGGACCCTCTTTCTTGAATGGAACATTCTCCTTGAGGATGACCTGGTCTGGCGCCAGTCGATACGCAGCGTCGGGGCCTGCCAGGTTGTGTGACTGAGAGGTCGCACAAGTGCTTGGTAGCATCCCCATTAAGTAAGTTCTAAGTTGATGCGTTTTTGGTTTTCTCTTGGTTTTTTTTTTTTTTTTTTTTTTTTTTTTAATCTTTTGGAAACTTCATACCCAGGGTGGCCTGCTTAACGGCGTCATACTGGTAACATCCCCGTCAAGCAAGTTCCTGTTTGAAGGCTCCATTTACTGGCGGGGAGCAACACCTGCTGGAAATCGGGTCCAGCGTCCCTCTACAACATGATTGATTGATTGGTTGGGGCTCCAGTTTGTGGCCTACCCTTGTAGCCTAGCTTTGTATGTATCCGGTCTCTACTTTATTGCCTAACTTGGCGCTAAGTGCTAGATGCGAGCTGCTATTGTGTGCTGTCACTGCTGTGTGTCTGTGGCTGTGTGTTGTAGACTAAATATCTGGCTTTTTTTGTGTTCCCTGTTTTCAACTTATTGCCTGTTGACAATGCACCTGTGGGAGACGTTGCAGAAGACGTTACAGTGAATGCCAGTCATTGCCAGTCGTTGCCTTGAAAAAGGAACCGTCCGTAGTATTGTAGCAAGTTGTTGTATGTGTGTCCTCTGTACCTGTTCGAGTCCGTGCTATGTGTGTGCTGAGCACTATAGTTGTATTGTTATTCTGCCCTGAGCTCTATGCTATGTTGTGTGTGCGTTGTTCCTCCCTATTACTCTTGTGTAACCTTTTTATGTGTCCTCAACGATGGGGATGTTATATTATTCGCCATGCATGGCTCCCTATGGGGAGATCCTCGATCCTTGTTCCATCTTGCTTGGTAGCTGCCCTTGGTTTGATTCGACTCCTCTCTCTCCCTCTGTCGCTCTGAAGGGGCAAACTCCGTTTCGCAGCTCCTCATAGCTCGTCCGATGATCCTGCATCCCTTATCAATGAGGCGGGTCCTTGCTTGGCCGGCAAGCCACAGGGGAAGGGTTATCACGGGTGGCCGACGTGAGGGGAGAGGCAAAGGTGCAAGTTTGATTGTGGAAGAGGAGGGGGGGGGGGGGGGGGGGGGGGGGGGGGGGGGGGGGGGGNGGGGGGGGGGGGGGGGGGGGGGGGGGGGGGGGGGGGGGGGGGGGGGGGGGGGGGGGGGGGGGGGGGGGGGGGGGGGGGGGGGGGGGGGGGAAGTGGGGGGTAGTGAGGGAGAGGAGGGCGGGTCATTGAACAGGGACTAAGTTTGTGGGTTTGAAGCGAACGATGTCCAGCTCTCGGAGTCTCTTCTACCTGTCCACCCATAGGGAGCAGAAGCTGGCGGCGATCTCAGCTCGTTTGATTACGTCTGTCTCCTTTTGTCGCATGTGACTAAGCTCCTTCCAGGTAGCATGTGTGTTGGTCGTAACTTGTAATGGTTTCCATGATTGAAGATCTTGCTTGTATAGAGTTATATGTGTTCTGTTTGTATTCCTGTGCACAACGCATCCTCCAAGCTGCCATTAGGATTGGCAGGCGTGTGGAGGAGAACAGATTTAGCGTAAAGGGAGACCATTGCTGTTCTTCTTCGTATTCTTCCTCTTCTTTCTCGATCTTCCTCTTGTCCTTAGTCTCGTTGCTTCTTATTCTTCTTCGTCCACAATCGTGTGTCCCTCCTCCCACGCGCCCCTACTCCACACGTCTCTTCTCCGATGTGTCAGTGCTCTGCGCGGCCCGCGCCATACCATCTCTTCTGCCTCATCACTCCGACGTGAGGGGCTGCGCCACACCTTCTCTTCTGCCTCGTTGCTCCGACGTGGGGAAAAGTTATAGATTCCCCCCGTGACAAAAGGTTTGTACTCGTTTGCCTCCCCGAAGTGTCGCAGGCCCCAAAAGGCTTGAGGCCTGGGGGGATCTGTAACTGTTGCCAACAGCTTCCGGAGGCCGGCCGTACCTTTTGCCACAGCCCGGGGTTAAATGAGTACAAACGTTTTGTCACGGGGGGCATCTATAACTTTTCCCTCCGACGTGTGTCCCTCCTCCCTGCTCAGCCATACCCTCTCCTCTCCGCCATCGATTAGCTTGGCCCTCCTCCCTGATCGTCTCTCACCCCTCCCGAATGTGTCGCTCCTGCCCCCTGCCACAGCCATCAACTCTTACCAACACACAATAGACTCCATCCTTCCCCCTTCTTTCTCCGCCATCATGTTCATTCTCCCTCTTCACTTCTCCACTATGGCATCACCCCTCCCTCCTCCCTTCTCTGCCATAGCATCCCTCCTCCTGCCTTCCCCATTGGCTCCCTCCCACCATCCATAATCCCGCCCTAACCCCACCTCCCTGCCCATGGCATCGCCCCTCCCTCCTTGCCCCAGCCCCCCTCAACACGAACAGAACCTCACATACATCAAACAAACAAACATCAAGAAAACCAAAGAGGCCAGATTTTGGGCGTACTGCCAAAGCGCAGTAAGAGCCAACCATCAAGAAAAAAAAGAAAAAAGAAAAAAAGAAGCAGACTGGAGTTTCGCTGCACCAGGGTTGCCCGGCCAGGCATGCCTGGAAAGGTTGCCATCCAAACTAGCTAGACTAGTACAATGCACTCAAAAAAGTTTCAAATGAAACATCCTCAGCGCAACCATCAATTGTGACCCAAGAGGGCCATACCGCCCGCGGCTTCTTGAACGGTTGTTCTTCTGCTGTCAATGAATCAGATGTGACCTTGAAGACACGTATGCTTKTTGTTGTTTTTTTTTTTCTTGGGGGGGGTCCGGGGGGGGGGGAGAGATAAGCCTCGGGGGGGGGTTCATTTACCGAGGTGATAAGAGCATCCCCGGTAAGTGGCCCCCTCGGTGGGAGGGCTCCATCTATTAGTGGGGAGCAGCTTGTGGTTTGATGAGCCGGATTGACACTGTTCCTAGCCCACACTTCCCTTTTTTTTAAGTCAGTCTTCTGTCAGTAAAGTCCGCAGCAAAGGTGGTGGCAGGGATGGAGCCAGGGGATGGAATGGACCACCACCCCTTCAGAATCTGATTTGTGAGAAATCACTGAAAAGCCAGCTGTAAGTGGAGCGGTCCCTATTTCATTACTCCTTATGGTCATACCACAACTCTCTTCCTTTTTTTTTTCTTTTTTTTTTTTCCCTTTCTTAAAGCCAGGGTGTTGTAGAGGCCAAGGACCAGACCCGCGGTGATTGCTGGTAGTGGAAGCCAATGGTTGTCCTGACAGGATAGGCCACATACCCTACCCATTCCCACGTTAATACTCCCAGCGCAACCCCTGTCCCTACTATCCTATCTCGGTGTGACCAGCACTCAGGACCATCACCCTACCAGTATCGAGGGCAACATGGACCAGACAGCAGTGACAAGCACCAAGGCTGGGCCAACCTCTCAGCCCTAATGGAAGCGGAAGCCGACGAACCTTGCCGTACGGGAACTTTGGACGCTAGGCTCATGCAATCTTCTACAGGCCCAATTCAGAGAGTCCACCTAGCAGGATTACCTAAGCAAGGCAGGCCAGCACCCGCGGACACATCCTACCATCCTTCCCTTAGCTTACCCAAGGCTGGGCGGAACTCAGACTAGCTGGAGCGACTTATATCCCTACCCTACCTAGAGCTAAGCCATGCGTGAGTACACCCCGTCATATATCTGATAGACCCCCCCAGCCCACTATCATATTTGTGTGTATGTGTTTGTGCCCAGAGGCTATGTATGTTTGTATGAGCCCATAGAGCCATGTTTTTTGTCTGTCCGAAGGCTATGATGTGTGCTCTGTGTAACTGTATAGCGAGATGTATGTTCGCGAAGGCCAGATATGTGCAGTACAATGTAGAGGGAACTATGTGTCCGTTTGAAGAGATGACAGGCCAAGCTGGACAAGAACCCCCCCCAAAGTCCCAAGCCAGACTCGAACCCGTGATCTATGATATGTGACCTGAAGACTCTACCATTTGAGTGACAATCGCAATCGGCCCCTGTGTGTGATATGCCAGACAGGGGAGATCAACAGAAGAACCACGAGCAACAGCCACAAGCAACCCACGCAGTGTCAAGACCCG